CGCCCGGAGAGCCGTACTTGTTGCGAATGCGCGCCATCATCTCCGGGTCGACCTCGACGGGGACGGCCAGCTCCTCGCGAACTCGCCGGTCCAGGTCGTCCCACTCGTCGGTGCTGGCGGTGACGACAGACATCGAAGAGGAGGACTCCGCCACTTCAGTGGCCAAAGTCGCCCGAGCCGGTGAAGTGCGATAGTTTTCGGTAGTGGCAGTGGAGCCGAACTTGCTGCGAATGCGCGCCATCATTTGGGGGTCGACCTCGACGGGGTCGGCCAGCGCCTCTCGAACTCGTCGGTCCAGGTCGTCCCACTCTTCGGTGCTGGTGCTGACGACGGACATTGAAGAGGAGGACTTCGCCACTTCAGCGGCCAAAGTCTCCCGAGCCGGTGAAATGCGCTTGTGTTCGGTGGTGGCGGTTGAAACCGATCCAATTGATCGTCTCGCCGCAAAGCCGCCGCTCATCTGCTGCTGCTCTCCAAAGCCGTTGATACCGCTGCCGCCTGACTCGGTGTCGCTCGTTTCACCGCCACTGGCCGGAGGCAAAGCTGCCGCAGGACTGCCTGAAAAGGCCAGCCTCGACTGAAGAGGCGTTCCGCCGCCACTTCCAGCTCGGTTCAGGCCAAAGCCGACCAGGGAGTTGGCCTTCGGGCCCAGGCCCAGGCCAATCATCGAGCGGGCCTTGCTTATGGTGCCCGTGTTTCCTCGAGGCTTGGCATAGGTGTCGTAAGGACTGCCCCCTCCTCCACCACCACCTCCGGCTCCAAAGTGGTTGGTGGGCGTATGTGCGGCGACAGAGAGTGCTGCGCTGACATTGGTGAGCGAGCCAATCTTGCTGATGGTGCCCTTGGTCAGCGTCCCGCCGCGCGGCAGGTCAGGGTGGGTGCCCTGCGATTCGGGCGTGCCGTACTGCAGATTACTGCCTGCTGACATCGGCTGACGGGTGAGCGTGCCACCAAAGCGATTCGTGGGAATACCACCACCACCACCACCGCCGAGAGTGGGCAGACCCGAGCCGCCGTTGGTGTCGGCGTGAGGGTTACCACCACCTACAAGAGAGAAAGACAAAGTTAGTTGGCCACTGTGTAATAATCCCTTTAAGCAACTACTACTACTTACCCATCTTGAGGGCACTCTTGGGCACCCGTTTGATGCGCTCCTCAATGAGGCTCATGTCCTTGTCGCTGAGCGCGCCCACCAGCTTGTACACGTCCTCGCCCCGGTACTGGTAGACCTTGACGATGCAGGCCAGCGCCGCATTGCGCACACTCGTGTCCCGCTCAGAGACGCACTTGGCAATGTCCTTCAGCTCGGCGCTGCCTGCTCCACCACCTCCAGAGGCGCCTCCTCCTCCGCCGCCTCCGCCTCGAGCACTGCCCGGTCCCGAGCTGGGACTGGAGCTGAAGATGGCCATGCCCTCGCTCTCAATGAGGCCGGCAATCTCCTCCAGGCAGGTCGTCCGCTGGCGGGCATTCTTCGAGCTCAGTCCGTCCATTAGATGGGCGAAAATCTTCGCCGGCGCGTAGACGCTGCGAATGGTGTGCAGCAGGTCGCGCACCTTCGCTCGGACCACGTCCTTCGCGTCGCCGCTCTTCGTGACCAGATAGGGGAGAAAGGAGTTCGCCTCAATGTTGCTCATCGAGTAGCCGACTGCCTCGAGGTGGGCAAAGATGAGGCGCAGCAGGTCGAGCGCCTTCATGATCACCGAGGGGTTGGTGTCGAAGAAGCGCAGTGCGGCCCACTTCAACACCAGGTCGACGTTGGCGAGGAGGCACTCGGAGGTGACGGGCTCGGCGGAGGCCCGGCCGAAGAAGGCGCTCATCGAGTCGATCGCCTTGATGTGAAACTTAAAATCGGCGTGGAAGCACTGGGCGACGAGGGCCGGTGCCCAGCCAGCCGCCTCCATCTGCTCGCGCAGCTGCACGTAAAACTCCTCGCGCGGCGTGCTGAAGTTCCACTTGAGCACCTTGAGGGAGCGCTCGTCGGCGAGGCGCTGCTCCTTGGCTGCTCTGGAGGGCAGCATCAGCGCAGAGGAGGCGGGGTCTTCCCCACCACCACCACCGCCGGCGGCGGCCTTTTTCAGCGACGGCACCGAGGCAGAGGCGGGCTTTGCCCCCAGACGGCTAATGCCACTAGCCCCCGGTCTTCGCAGGGTCGACGAGGAGGAGGACTTGCCCGTTGAGGCAGCGGAAGCAGCATCGCCCGCCGATCCGCCGCGAGCGTTGCCCGTGTCGAGGCGAGACTTGACGGCGCCAAAGCGATTGGTGGTGGCAGTGCCGGGCTTGCTGCTGAACTTGGGCGCCGGCGGATCGGGCATGTCAAGCGACTCTGCGGAAGAGTAGTTGTTGTTGTTGTTGTTGATAGCAGAAGGTGGCTTAACGACGCGGGCTCCTCCACCAGCTGGCTTTCGGGCAGGAGCTCGAGGCTTGGGCGCAGAAGAGGCTGAAGCTGGCGCTGAAGAGGCAGCAGCAGCAGCCGTCGGTGGCGGTAGAGCGGCAAATTTCTTCACCTCCACCTTCGCCTTGTACTCCTCAATCTTGGCCATCTTCAGCTGTTCGAGGCCCTGCAGCAGTGGGCCCATGTTTCGGTCTCCTTGCGCCTTGGCCGCAGTGCCCAGCGCCTCCGCCGAAGACTCGCGCACCGTCGGATCGGAATCGCCGAGGGTCTAAGAGGAAGGAAAGAAAAAACATTAAAACCAAACTCTAAAAATCAAAAAAGAATCGCCTTACTTTAAGTAGAGAGGTGACAAAGACCTTCAGCAGCTTCTTGTTAATCAGCCCAGGGTTGGTCTTGGCAAAGGCTCGCGCCATAAAGAGCGCCGTCTCGCTGCGAATGGATGGATTCTTGTTGTCCAGCGCCGCGGTGAGATCCTCCTGAATCGCCTCCATGTTTGTCTGCTCAGGAGGAAAATGATGTGTTATAAAGCGAAACAACTCACCCCCACAGCACAAAAGACTTACCGAAAGGTACACGGCGTCAATGGCCTCCCGCAGCGAGGCCACCACATTCGCCTTCTTCTCCTTGAACTTCTCCAGCAGGACAGTGACGCAGCCGTGGGCGTGCTTGTCGAAGCCCTTGCGCAGGCCGGTGCACAGCATGGAGAGGCACTTGATGGCGGCCGTCGCCACCACGATGTTCGTGTCCTTGCCGATGATGCGCTTCAGCTGCTTCACCAGCTCGCCGTAGTCCGCCGTCGCCAGCAGCTTCGGGTGCTTCTCCAGCAGCGCCTGCAGCTTCTCCAGAGCGTCTTTCCGCTCCTGCCACTTCTTCGCCTCCAGCAGGGGGTAAAAGTCCGATGGCAGCTGCGCCAGAATGTCCACCGGGTCGAGCAGCTCAAAGGGGTCGGCCTCTTCGTCCTCGGCGGCGGCGTCTCCGGCGCCATCTCCGGCGGCTCCGTCTCCGGCGCCGCCGTCCGCCTCATCGGCAGCCGCCGCCCGCTGCTGCTGCGAGCGGAGCAGTCGCTCGGGCACCGCCTTGGCGCCCTTCACCTTCTCAAACTCCTCCTTGAGAGCGTCGAGGAGGATGGGCTTGAGGTTGCTGAGCTGCGGCAGGAGGGCGTCCTTCACCCAGCGGTAAATTTCGATGCACAGCTGCTTGGTCTCCTCGCGAATGCCCGGGTCCTTGTGCTCCAGCAGGCCTCCTAGAGTCTGATGTAAAGCAAAGTAAATAAAACGGTGGTGATTAAAAGAGGTGAGATTTAGGATAACCAGCAGCAGACTTACCGGAACAATGGGCTTGATGGCTATCACCTTGGAGCCAAACTGATTGAGCGCCCTGGTGATCATCCGCACCACAGCGGCCACGTTCTTGGGCGTTTTCTGCTCGAGCGCCTTGATCAGCTCCTCGAGCACCGCCTCCTGGCGCTCGATCTCCACGGCGAGGAGGACAATGTCGACGGCCAGCTCCTTGGTCTTGGCGCGCGTCGAGTTGAGGCACTTGGTGGCGACGCCGGCCACCACCGGCTCGATGTACCGCCCTGCCACCGGACAGTAGTCGACGTAGGCGAGCACCGCCGCGAGGCCCTTCTCCTGGGCGGCGGCATTCGCGTCAAGGACGAACTTCTTGATCAGCGGCGAGAACTTTGCCCACTCCTTGTCCTGCTCAAAGGTAGGAAAGAGCTTCGCCAGCTCCTCGTAGGCGGAGGCGCGCGCCTTCCAGTTCTTGTGGGCGATTCGCTCGTCGAGCGGCAACTTACTGAAGTCCTGGTCTTCCTGATCGGCCATCTTGGGTAGCAAATCAGGAGACGTCGACGACGACAAGGGCGGTTGGACTGATGATGATGTTGGTGATGACGATGACGATGCTGATGTCGACGATGGAGAAAGAGAGAGAGAGAGAGAAAGAGAACGAGGTCTGAAGGTGATGCAGACACTCGGACACTCGGAAAGAAGAAGGGGGAAGAGAAGTCAGACGGGTAGACGAGAGGAAGAAGAAGAACGAGTTGTCTTGAAGAACGGGAACACCGAAAGAGCAGACGAGACGATAGAGTTGGCCAGCTTTTTGGCTGCAGCCCGGATTGAATGAAAAACAAACGGCTAACGCCACTGCAAAGGAGAAAGAGAGAAAGAGAAAGAGCCGTTGGCGGCTGTGTTGTTGTTTTGCAAACTCACCGAGCGGCGCGGCGCCGCCGCAAAAAAAACCGACGGCAGCGCCAAGCAGAAACAGCGCAAAAGGCTTGCCTCACTGCTTTCCCGGTGACGTCATTGGTGGGCGGGCACTTGCTGCCTTATCTCAGTTAACCAGAAAAGTACTGTCTAGGGTGGAAAGCGGCCGCCCACTTTGCATGGCGGATCAGTTTTGCCAAGCCACTTAAAAAAAGAGCGGGTGATTCGGTTATTTTTAGTTATTCTTTCTTTTGCTTTCGTTTGCTATCTTCTACCATCAATCAGATCAAAAGTTGTGTTCATCTAGACTATTTTTTATTTATTTAGTTAAAAGTTCATTTCATTGAACAATTGACACCACATTTTGACTGAAATAAGCATGTAGATGTAAAAACAAACATTTAATATTCAACCTGGAACGGTCCAAAACCAACAAACTTTTGCGGCCCCTTCTTCTTTCGCCAGGCAGCAATGTTTTTGTTGCTCTCTAGTCGGTCAACAAAAGAAACTAAAACATTGAACTGATTGAAGATGTCCGGTGAAAACACCTTCAGTTTGACTAGCAGCTCATACAGCCAAAAGTCTACATAAGTCACGGAATTTCCGGTTGAGTATTGATTTGAGCCAATAAAATTAGAAACAGCTTTCAGTTGATCAGGAAGTGTCTTCAGATACTCAGCTTTGTTTTTCTCAAAATCCGGCGAGAAAATAGTACGGAAAAAGTTCATGTTCAAGTCGTACACTTGTTGTTCCAAAACCGCCGCTCTGTTCTTCTGCTCCTCTGTTTCACCCTCCAGTTTGTATTTGCGGGCCAAGTAGCGGAGAATGGCAAGACTTTGTGTAATTTTAACATTATTAGCTGAGTCAATAAGATAAGGAATCTATAGTGGTTTTAAAGAAATAAAAATGTAAATGTTTGAGAAACTTGTTTTATTATTCAATAACTTACATTGGGAAAGTCCAATCCGAGGGTGAACTTCTCGTCAAGCCACTCTTGACCTTTGCCATCAGCTCCCTTTGAGTATCTTTTGTCGACAAAGTCAACACCTGTAAAAATAGTTTTAGAAACGAATTACTGAAAAAAGTTAAAAAATTCTTGCCTTGAAAAACTAGCAAATTGCGAATAGGCTCTGCCAGGCCTCTGAAATCCCAATATCCCACGGTTATTTGGCTAGACATGTTTGCTGGTAAGTTTCAAATGTTGCTTCGATTGACTCGAGCTGCAGGTTGACGTTGAGTGATAACTGACAACTGAAACTTAGGTGCTTATATACACAGGTTAAGTGATGGAAATGTGCCGAATTGGACAGAAATGGTACTGGTTGCTGCCCACCACCAAGAACAGCTTTCCCTCTCTGCTTTCACTATCTATTTGCCTGGCAATTTGATTGCACTTTTACGTCTACACATGCCAAGTGGCTTATGATTTTGATTAGATGTAAAAACAGTGTAGACTCTCAAAGGCAAAGTTATATCATCTCCACCTCAGTGCGAACGTATGTCATGTTTTTGCACTTTCAAAGGGTTTTCTCCCCATGCCCTTTCCACCCTTGAGCTAGACGTTGTCTGGTTGGGTGCTATATTACATTCTGATTGCAAAAAAATAAAAATAAAAAAAATATGTGCGTTCGAATAACGTTTTTGAATAATCATCAACGTCATCTACTCAAAACTACTGAAACGTTTTTAAACAATCGATGAAAGCAGTTCTGGCAGAAATAGTTGGTGTCATAGTAAAAACTTTGTTCTAGACACTTCTCAATGTTTTTTAGCAACTAAATAGCCATTGATAAAATGGGTGGTCGTTTGCACTTGCGATTAGATAAAGCAGAAACAATGTATCAGTGTTTTTCAAATGATTTATTAGTAACAGGATTGACACGTTGACATTTAAAATAAAGTAATTTTATTTGGAAAACAACAAGTAATTGCGACGCCAGGGTTCATGTGCTGATTGCAGTTTTTGGCATTCATGGTAAATTAAAAACCTGGCTTTGCATTGACTTCCTTCAGGTAATCCGAAACCTGGGGCAAACTTTCAATGTTTTTCAAAAAAGCACCCAAGTTGCTCCAGTTTTTGCTGACTTCTCCCTTGAAGAACTCTTGTGCGTTGATAAAGCGAATGTTCTCGTATAAGAAGATATCCTGTGTTGCAAAAAAAGTTTAAATTAGTTTTTCAATGTTCTACTCAGCTAATTTCAAAAACTTACTCCTACTGTGAGCGAATCACCGGTAACATAGGGCTTGTTGCCAAGGAACTTGCTGAATCCATCCAAGTTCTTCTTTAGGCTTGCCAAGAAGGTGGCTTTATCCTCCTCGGTGGCGCCCTGCTTGAAAAGGAACGTCCAAACTAAGACAGCATTGTCCGACAGCTGCTGCTCGAGAACATCAATGCGAGTCTTTGCCTCTTCAGTGTCGCCGTTGAGTTTGTACTTGCGAGCCAGGTAGCGCAAGATTGCCAGGGTCTATTTAAAAAGTTGATTTTAAAATTAGTTCAAAATTCAAAAAGACTATTTCAAAAAGACAACTTACCTGGCTGATCTTAACATTGCCGTCAATGAGATAAGGAAGGTTGGGGAAGTCCATTTCGCTTGCCAGCTTTTCCTTGTCACTCGCCCAGTCAGCCTTGCCGCTCGCAGTTCCATACTCGTACAGACGGTCAACGTAATTGGCACCGACGTACTTCAGCAGAAGACGAATGGGTCCAGCTCGACCTGAGGATATATGGAGAAGTGTAAATTGTGGTAAAACTCGAATAAAGTTTTATCAGTCAGACCTCGAATGCTCCAGTAGCCCACGGTGATCGGAGATGACATTTTGGTGTTTGCTGTGGATGGTTTCGTAGCGAATGATAGACTGAAAAAACAAAAAGCAGGTTTATATTTGGTACTACTTTCTGTTTAGATACGCAAAGCCGCAGCACCAGAGGTAACGTTTGCTTTACGTTTTCGCTAGCGAGACGGTGAGGGAGGAGGATTTGGGAGCCGTCAAGGACGCCGAATGCGCGCGCTTATGTTTGCTTATGCACAGGCAAGAAAAAGCTTTTGCACTGAAAGTACATTTTCTGAAGTCGGTTGCTGTGCACGGCAGATGGAGAAAGGAAGAGCATGGGCAAGGAGAAAAGCTACTTACGAGCAGACTTGGTACAACTGTCTGAGGGTGTCACTGAAGGACCGTCAATGCCGTGGGACAGCAACAGCGCAAATGACAAGAGGCGAACAAATGCAAACAAATGATGCAGCCGCCGATCGAGGGTCTGACATGTGGTCAGAGGAGATCGCCAAACTCAATACCAGATGGCCACACTGATCATCAGTGAGAGAACAACCCGCCAAACTCAAACTCAAAACAAACACTGTTTTATTGTCATCAACTTTTAATCAAGCCACTAAGCATTAACTTTCTTCAAATATTCGGCCAATTGTGGCAGAGCCTCGATACGTTTCAAGTAGCTGGTCAGGTTTGCGTACTTGCTGACCGACGCTTTGGTGATCTCAGTAGTCTCTAGGTGGTGAATGTACTCGTAGAACCACGCGTCCACGTAAGTGAACTTGCTTCCAACAGCAAAGTTATTTGCGCCCAGAAACTTTGACAGTGCTTCTAGTTGACCGGCCAGTTCAGTGAGAAAGGCAGCCTTCTCTTCTTCGGAAGAGCCTTGCTTGTGGACAAAGGTGATAAAAGCAGTGAAGTAATCGAGCACCTGCTGTTCCAGAACGGCAACCTTGTTTTGCTCAGCATCCGTACTTCCCTCAAGCTTGTGCTTGCGTGCTATTAAACGCAAAATTGCCAAAGTCTACAAAAAATCAAAACATAGGTTAGTAAAGACATTAACAGCCTTCAAGACAATGTACCTGGGTAATCTTCACATCAGAGTCCAAATAGTATGGAAGCTAAAAGATTGTGTTAAATTTTAAATTTTAAAATAAAAGTAAAAAGTTTAAAAAATGCATACATTAGGAAAGTCTAAACCAAGCGAAAATTTATCTTTGTTCCATTCAGCTTTTCCTTCTTCACTTCGAGCATAACGTTTGTCTTCAAACTTTACTCCAGCGTATGTAAGCAAAATCCGGATCGGTTCTGCTCGCTAAAATCAATTGTAAAAAACTATTTTAAAATATCTTATTGAAAGCTGACAACTTACCCCTCTAGCGTCCCAATAGCCAAGAACTGGAGCCATTTTTGTTGANGAAAATTTATCTTTGTTCCATTCAGCTTTTCCTTCTTCACTTCGAGCATAACGTTTGTCTTCAAACTTTACTCCAGCGTATGTAAGCAAAATCCGGATCGGTTCTGCTCGCTAAAATCAATTGTAAAAAACTATTTTAAAATATCTTATTGAAAGCTGACAACTTACCCCTCTAGCGTCCCAATAGCCAAGAACTGGAGCCATTTTTGTTGAATTTGAGTTTAACAAAATGTAGTAACAAGCTTGAATACAAAATGAAGTTCAAGTTTTCAAACACTGGCTTTATATTTATTTTTCATTTAGTTACCTTTGCAGGATCGATTTTTCTAGAGTGTTTGTTGTTTGGTAGGTTTGTTTGACAATCCTCAAATACACACCGATAAGATACCATGAATCGTGCCTAAAGTGACTGGTTGCATAAAAAAATGCACCACCTTTGCTCGTACAAAGTGACAAATTTGTTACTTTTATAGCTAACTTAGCAACAGAAAGTCGTTTGGCACACACTGATAGCTTTGAAAATGAATTACAAGCAAAAACTTGCACTGAAAGTACTAATTTTATTTTTAATTTATTAATTCAGAACAATTTTACATCTAAAACAATTTAATTATTTAGTCAATAACTATTTTTAGTATTTAGGGTTCCAAAAGTATTTTGGCCCACTAAAAATAAGTGGTTCATTAGCAGCAATGTACTCCTTGATTCTAGGCAGGTTTTCAATTCGATCCACATAAGCTCCAAGCGTAGTTTCAAACTTTTCCCATACTTTTGGTGCAAAGACTTTTATTTTGATTAGCCACTCATATACGAGAAAATCCACGTATGATGGCTCGCCCCCAGATAAGAAAAGTCTTTCTCCTAAAAACTTTTCAATATTTTTGAGCTTGACTTTTTCTAAAATCTCAAAATAGTCATAAGACAATTCATCATAGTTGGGTCGTTGCGTTAGCTGATAAAACTCGAACATCAAGTCTGCGATTTCTCGCTCAACGAGATTAATTCTGTTCTTCTCCTCAGTTGTTTTACCATCAAAGTCGTACTTGAAGCCAATGTACCTCAAAATGGCAATGGACTTTAGTAGTAAAAATAATGAAATGAGTTAGCAAAAAAACTGCAAAAATGTTTGTAAGATTTTACCTGGGTGATTTTTTCCCCAGTTTCGCTTATGTAGTACGGGAGCTGGTCAATGGAAAACATACGGTGAATTAGTTCATTAACAAATCACTAAAGTAGACGCACATTTGGGAAATCAAGACCTAATGGATTCGAAAGTTTTTCGCCACTAAACCACTCTGATCCTTTGCCGTCATCGCCTCTTGAGTATCGCTTATCTTCAAAATCGACATTTAGATATGTCAACGCCAACCTTTGCAAATTTAAGCTTTTACATTAAAGTCAACTTAAAATTAAAATCTTACCTTATTGGTTGTGCTAGCCCTCTGGTAAAGAGAAACAAAACGAATTAACAATGTTTCAATGAACAATATATGGTTTCTTGCCTGACCTCTGGTTCCAATAGCCAAGAACTGGACGCTTGGAAGTGGACATTTTGATGAAAAGTTAAGTAAAAAAGTGGAAAATTTTAACNCCTGACCTCTGGTTCCAATAGCCAAGAACTGGACGCTTGGAAGTGGACATTTTGATGAATAGTTAAGTAAAAAAGTGGAAAATTTTAACAAAAAAAAACACAATGAAAGGACGTTGGAGTCACTTGGTGGCACGGCTACTGCAACTATCACCAACCAGACTGGAGTGCAATTTTTGTGCCTGATAAGATATCGTTTTTATTGATATATTTTTTTGCATTGAAATAGCATGATACGAATACATTATTTTATTGTACAGTTGTCAACCCCAGAATTTAAATTTGGCAAATGAATCTGCAACTTTGCCAGCCTTTTCGGCTATAAAATCGGTAGACTTGGCTATTACTTTTTTGGATTCCTCAATAAAGTTGTCTTCTAAAAGTTTTACAAAATGTTATTTAATAAATCTAAAAATAATTACTTGCCTTTTGGCTTTTTAGTTGCAATTGTTTTCAAACTGGTTCCCAACTCGCCGAGTATTTCAGCCGAAAATTCTGTAGTCTCTTCATAGGGAATCACTTTTCTAATCCGATCAAGAGGAACTTGAAGTATATTCTGCAATCTAGACAAAGTGACTTCAACTTCTTGCTCAAACTCAGTTCCATTGAAGACAATGTAAACTGCAAGGCGTGATTTAGCTTCAGATAAAACACGGGCAAACATTCTAAGGTAATTGTCAAGAAACTCGGCACTCTTTGGTGGCTCCAAATCAAGTCGAGTGAAGAATATTCGCTTTAGAGGAATACTCATGGCTATTACGCTAGAGTTGAGTTCTTCTCCGTAATTTTGCAAAGCAGTCAGACGCTTCATCATGGTGAAATCCGAGTTATTGTCTAGATATAAAAAAAATCATTTGATAAAAAGAATGGCTTTTCGATGTCACTTACAGTGCACTACATTTCCAATTGCCGCCACTATTGAATCTAACTGTCGTTGAATGTACCGTAAAAGGGCTTCAATTGCCTGGTTGATGCTCTCTTGCAGCGACTCGACATCTTTTATTCCTATTAGCAGGTTGACCAGCTTGAGCAGTGCGTCAATTGTCTGCGCCGAGACTTCAATGTTCAAACTGGGGGCAGAACAGCCAAACTGCTTCTGTATGTCTGATGATATGGTCAGATTTGGTGATTAAAGTAGGGAATGACAACAGATGGGTTATCTAACCATTGAGGTAGTGGCCATCAGTGACAAAGACAACCACCGAATCAACCGTCATATCGCTTCCTTTAGGCAGAGCACTCTTAATGGTTTCCAGAAGTTCGGAAACCAGTGAGGCGGCCAACTCTTGCTGTTCAGTGGCTTCTAAAGTCTCAATAACCATGTCAACTGAAGTTTTCAGCCCTATTAGCATTGGAATCACCTCAACTTTGTAGGCAACTGTTATAAAAAAAGTAATTACAAAATTGGTTAAGCAAAGTGTTTAGTGTAACCTCTTGAAAGTTTGCATAGCGCATCGGACACTCTGCCAAAGAAGGCGCCATTGGTGTGCACTGAACAAAGCAATAAAATAGCAAAAGATAGAAATGATAATTTTTGCATTTTTAATAAAACAAAATGAAAAAAATGGTTTTAAACAAAACTAGTACTTGTAAATGAAAATTTACGCTAGACAAACCGTTTCATTTTGTTTTCTAAAAAATACCAAGAATTCAAATTATAGCGAATCCTAACTTTTACGAGTAGTCCTCGTTTTTTCTGTAAACAGAGGCTCACTATCAGGGAATATTTTTTCTGTATATTTTTCATTTCAGGTGTCACGTGTACCTGTTTAAACTCTAAACCAGAAAACTATCAACAAAGCACCCGTTTTGGTAACATTGACAAAAAGATTGTAGTATTTACATGTTGTGCAATGCCTTATGTTCTCAATTTAGCCTTTTTTATCGCAAAATATCAAGTACATTGCCGCCAACTTTTTACATAACTCCAGTATATAAGGAAATTGGCCATAAATGCTTTAAATTCTTACAGTTGTAAACTTGTATTTATTCAAGTAACTCAAAATTACCTTTTTACAGTTAAAATCACAATGACCTCTTTCAAACTTGCAAAGTTTTTGGGTACATTTTGGCTATAAATTTTCTCTACAGCATGTGTTTTAATATTTTGACTTTCAACAGGATCTTCGCCCCTTTTCTCCTCCTTAGCCCGTCGTTCGTACTCCTCAGCTGCCCGGTACTCTGACTATGAACTCCTGCGAGTCACAGCCCCATCTCCACATGTTTTGCACGTCGAGCTGAACCGTCCTGAAAAACGGAACGCCCTGACACGCGAATCTTTTCGGGAACTGAATGATGTCTTCAAAGAGATCACCGCTGACACTCACTGCCGAGCGGTTGTCCTCTCAGGCAATGGAAAGATGTTCTGTGCAGGCATTGATTACATGGATTTGATGTCCACTATGGGAAATGCTATCGGTGAGTGAGCGTCCAGCTAAAGTTTGACCCTTACCTGACGATCATCTTTTGCCCTGAACAGCACCTGGCAGCGATTCCGCCGACGGACAGCGAGACGATATTGCGGGAAAGGCCAAGTTCATCAGCTCAATGATTGCCCTTCTCCAGGAGCCATTTAATACGATGGCCCGCTGTCCCAAGCCTATTGTTGCGGCTGTCCACTCGGGCGTCATTGGCGCAGGCGTTGACATGATCTCAGCAGTGGACATTCGGTACGCTTCCTCAGATGCCTACTTCAGCATCAGAGAAGTCGCCATAGGAATGGCTGCAGATGTGGTAACATAACATTAGGGTATTTTGCGCTGACATTAAACAAAACTAACATTGTATCTTAATCAACTCAAGGGCACACTGCAAAGGCTGCCCAAGATCGTGGGCAATGACAGTCTGGTTCGTGAGCTGGCCTTCACCGGGACAGACATGCCTGCCTCAGAGGCCAAGGAGTTTGGCCTGATCAGTCGAGTGTTTGAAACACCGGAAAAGACTGTCGAAGGTGCTTTGGAGCTGGCCAGAAAGATTGCCTCTCGATCGCCGGTCGCTGTGCAGGGCACTAAAATATCGCTCAACTACAGCCGAGAGCACACCATTGAAGATGGTCTGCAGTTTATGCAGATTTGGAATATGAGCATGCTGCAGAGTGAAGACCTGTTGACCGCCACGACAGCTGTGGCTACCAAACAGGAGAGTCCCGAGTTTGCCGACTTGTAAATAAACAAACACACACCCAATCATGTAACTCAACCAATCTAATTTATTAAAATAATGAAGTTTTAATTAAATGGCAAATGAGTATACACCAAAAAAGTAGAATGCATCTTAGTTGATAAAATTCTCCTGCAGGGGACTCACTGTGGTGTCCAGCGACAACTGGGTGGCAACTTCGGTGGCAACTTCAGTAGCGACAGACGACGACTCTTCGGCAGCAGTGGCCGTTCCAGGAACAACAGTCGAGGAGAGAGTCTCGACGATCACTGAAGTGACAGGGGCGGCGGAAGAGGTTGAAGTCTGAGACACCGGAGAGACAGTGGTTACAGCAGCAGCAGCAGTAGCATCTTCAGGTGCAACAGAGGCCGTGCTGGGGACAGCCGCCGAGGTTGAGGCTTCAACAATCACTGAAGGAGCAACAGTGGTCGACGCCAGAGAGACCTGAGAAACAGCAGAGGTCACCGGAGATGACGTTTCAGGGTTAACCGTTGAGGTGGAAGTTTCACGGATCACTGAAGTGACAGGGGCGGCGGTTGAAGTCTGAGACACCGGAGAGACAGTGGTTACTGCAGCAGCAGTAGTAGCAGCTTCTTTGGGCGCAACAGAAGCCGTGCTGGGGACAACCGCCGACGTTGAGGCTTCAACAATCACTGAAGGAGCGGCAGTGGTCGACACAGGAGATGCCGTTGAAGTAGAAGTTTCACGGATCACTGAAGTGACAGGGGCAGCGGCAGTGGTTGATGTCTGCGAGACAACCGAAGAGACAGTGGTTGTGGCAGCAGCTTCTTCGGGCGCAACAGGGGCAGTCGAGGTTGAGGCTTCAACAATGGCTGAAGGTGTGACAGGAGCGGCAGTGGTCGACGCCTGAGAGACAGCAGAGGTGACAGGAGAGGGAGCAAGTGAAGATGTGGTGACCACCTCAGCTGGAGCAGCAGTGACTGGAGTCTCAGTGTTGGGCATAACTCGGGGATTGATGAGGGGGTCAGTGGTGGTGTTGGTGGTGGGACTGGGCAGTCGGCAGTCTCGGTTAGAGTCACGGGCAAACTGCACCTCTGCGGCTTCCCACTGCCTGGTCACCTCGAGAATCGCCTCGGCAAATGCCTTCAGCTCGGCACCGGTGACGCTGATGTTCTGGTTGTAGTTGTAGGCAGTGAAGCCCCGCTGGGTGAGCGTGCTGAAGCGAAGACCCAGCCAGAGGGCCGTGCTGAGCGACTGCAGACGAAGGTTGCTCTGGCCAAAAGCAGTCAGCGTCTTCTGGGTGTTCTCATTGAGGGCGGTGATGAAGGAGCGGTTCGTGGGACGGCTGGCGAGGCACTGCTGGTCAAACTGCTGCTGCTCAGGTACAGCTCGGGAGACGGACGCAGACGACGATGACTGGCAGAGGATGGCCTCCTGATCGAGGAACTGCGCCGTGGTCATCGACCACTTGCGAGCCATGTCTTCGAGGGTGTCGGCAAGGCCGCGCAGATTGCCGCCCGTCTTGTCGATGTTCTGGTTGGCATTGAAGAGTGTGTAGCCGAGAGAGGTGAACTGGCTGAAGAGGAGCGTGGCAGAGAGCGGGTCGGTGATGCGCAGCAGGCGGCTGTTGTTGCGGCCCAGCTGGTGCAGCTGTGTGCGAGTGATGTTGTTGATGGAGGCGATGAACTGCCGACGCTCGCTGGCATTCGGCTGAGGTCCGTACGTCGCCTGGTAGGTGGACTCACTGCTGGCCCAGTCCTGGGCGATGGTCTCCAGCGTGCCGGCCAGCTGCTTCATGGCCTGCCCATTGGCGGTGACGACGCTGCTGAGGGCCGTCATGTTCGGCCCGGTTCGGGTGAAGATGGGCCGCTGCGTGAGGCCGATGGTCAGCGGAGTGGTCAACGGCAGGAAGATGGTCGTGTTCCGGCCAAAGGACTCCAGAGCCACCTGAGTGATGGTGTTGATCTTGCGAATGTAGTTCCGGCCAATGGTTACGTTAACTAAACGTTGGAGACAAGAAGTTGTTAGAGAGAAAGGCAAGACAAGACCAGACGGGACAAACTTACCGGTGCAATCACCAGTGATGGTGGTTGTGCTTTGACTGGAAAAGGGCGCACTTTGGGCATTGCAAAGGCCTGAAAGGCTGAGGGCCAGTGCAAGTAGGGGAAAGGCGAGGAGTAAAAACTTCAT